ATTAAACTAAAAACAAAAACAAACAACACACACACACACACACACACACACACACACACAAAAAAACCTCACATCTGGGTCACCTGCCAGTAAATGGAGCTCTGGGATGGTTTTTTTGAGTAGATGAAACTATCATTCAAACAAGAGATGTCTGAAACCACCAAAGACCCTTAAACCTAAATTCTTTGAACAAAAAAGTTCATGTGTTAACAAACATTTTTTTTTGTTAACTTTTTCTCCTTAAAAATTTAATGCATATGGTTCTCTCTCAGTTCTCTGCAAGGTTTGTCCAAGAGACTTTAGAGAGATCAGATATGAAACATTAAGTGTGAGGATGAATCTGTGGAAATTAAAGAGATTCCATTTACTGTTAGCAAAATTATGCTACCTCATCTTTAGGGAAACTGGAAAGCTTAATTTCAACATAGGAATGTGGGGGCAGGAAGTGCTGGAGAGGCAATACCATCAAGTGTTTTGCTTTTGCATTTTAAATGTATACCAGTTTAATATACTCTAACTAAACTAGTACTTACCTTCTCCAGTTCTTTCCAATCATAATTTGTGTTCCCAATCACCATCGCCTGCAGCTCACTGGGCTGGAAGAGCTGAAGAACTTTACCACCACACACCTTATGAAAGCCTGTGTGGAATGCATCAAATAAGGAAGCCACTGATTTACTGAAGATGTAATCCACATAGGCATCTACAAATTCTTGCCTGTAGAGTGAAGACAAAAGCAAACACATTTTAAAAACTGAAGATATTTAAGTACCATTCTTCCATGAATAAATCAATGGTCAACCTAGCACAAAATACGGATTTTAAGATACTGTATTCTGCCTACGGTCTTTGCTGTGGCCACAATGAAGATCCTTTGACCATGAGCAGAGCATTAATTCAATTCTTCCCAAAACTGAGAGAGTATGGAGTGGACAAACAACAACATTAAATAATGCATTTCAGACAACATGAGCCTTTTAATTATTTGTACCCTCCATAATGAATTGGCTCTTCCGGAAACTTGCACTGCCTCTTGTAATGCTGATTCTCAGTGTAGTGGTCTGAAACTCATTATTCAAGTCACTGTTCCTTTAATAAAAAGGGTTATTTTCAGTTTTAGGGAGTGATTGTGTATGCTCCGTGTTGGAAGACAAGTTCGTAACTCCCATGGATATCTCATGTTCTGTATAGTGTCTTGGATCACACAGAAAGGGTTAATTATGGTTAGGGAAAATAGTTTGACTATGAGAACTACTCCTTGTTACTAAAGAGCATGAACATATCAGGCAAGATACTTGAAATGTTTGCACTCAAATACAGATGGCAAAAATCCAATAATTTACTAGTTTACTTTTGACTGTGAATATTTTTACACCAGTTTAGTCAGCACTAAGTGGTTCAATCATGCTGCCGTTATTTCTGTTAGCAGATTACCAGTACCCTACCAATACATTTTCTTCAGGGAAATCCATAGTATTTTTGTGTATTATCAGGGTCATCATTTATCTCAGAAGGATCATTTGAATGCACCTTGCAAACAGCCTGGCATTTGTTTGGGTGGTTGCCACGCAAATCTTTACAACGCTACCTTTTGCCTAGGTAATGTTGCTGCAATATTCACAATATTATTAAGACTGTAATTGAGATTGCTATACAAAGGAAAATAAAAGGTGCTAAATGATAGAGGACTGTAAAAACTCTCAAAACACAGTCAGTGTCAGACGATAATCAGTACTAACAAATTATTGATAAAGCACACCTTCCCAGTACACTTCAGGCAGTACCTGAATCTCTTGCATGCTTCCAATTCATGTAAATATACAACAATTAAGCAGGCAAACCAAAAAAGTGAATAGACATCTTCATGAAACAACAGGTACTTCCTTAACAATGAAATCCCACAAATACTGGCAGCACCATAGTGATCCTTTACTATCAGCCAAGAATTAAAAAAAAGAGGCTACTCACCTGTAACTGGAGATTTTTCAAGATGTGCAGTCTACCTGTATTCCACACATGGGTATGCGAGCACATGATCTCAGACCAGAAAATCTTGAAAATAATGTCTGTTGGTCTGTGCCTGCACCCTGTGCTTGATACTAATGGTACAAGGGGAGGTACAGAGCAACTACCTCTCCAGTTCCTTCTTTACTACAAATCCAGTCGTGTCCAAAGCAGAGAGGAAGAAAGGCAAGTAGTGGGATATGGATCTGGACCGCACATCTCAAAGAACCTCCAGTGACAGGTGAGAATGCTAGTCCCTATGAGTATTTCACAGGTGGGTGACTGGCAAGCAGCAAATAAACAGGAAGGGAGGTGAGAGGATGCAGGAGTACAGATATCTGTAACATTGCAATTCTGCTTGTAGCAACACATAATACTCCTTGAAAGTGCAGATGGAATTCCAGGTTGCTCCCTTACAAATGTCTAGCAGAGGGACTTCTCAAAGAAATGCTACTGAGGTTGCCTGTGCTCTAGTAAAAAGGGCCTTCAGCCTATCTGGAGGAGGGAGATGCACCAACTGATAGCAAAGGAGGATACAACCAGATATTCACTTAGAGAGTCTCTGAGCAGATATCGCTTGTCCCCATGCTCGCTCTGCTATAGCAACAAAGAATCTAGGTGATTTTCTAAATGATTTCACTCTTTGCAGGTAGAATGCCAATGCTCATCTGATGTCGAGAGAACAAAGACTCCTCTACTCGCTGGACGCGTGAGGCAAAGAATATCAGTAAAGCAAATCAACTGGTTTATGTAGACCTTGGAAGTTACCTACAGGATGAATTTGGGTGAAGGCAAAGGAATACCTTCTCTTTATGAAATGTAGGTGTATGACAGGTAGACCATGAGGGCCTCCAGCTCACCTTCTCTCCTGGCCAACATAATGGTCCTCTGGAAGGCAACCTTCATAGAAGATGGGACCTCAAGAACATGGTCGACGGTTTGAAAGATGGCCTGTTAAGTGTTGAAGGTATGAGTGTAAGATCCCACTGTGGCGCTGGCTTCACTATTGGTGCGGAAATCCTAATCAGAATCTAGGAATTTGGTTGTTACCGGGTGAGTAAAAATAGAATAGTCATCTACTGGCAGATGGAACGTACTGATTACTTCTAGTTGGATTCACAGCAAGCTAATGGAAAGCCTTGTCTTGACAGTGAAGACAGTCTAAAATAGAAGCAAGACCTGCTGGCCCTCATGATAATTGGTTCTGTTGCACCCAGAGAGAGAGAGAGACACACACACACACACACACACACACACCCCTACCTCTATTTGGTTAGGTAACATTTCCTGCTGTAATTATGAATAGTTTGAATGGCCTGCGAAGATGAATGCTCTAGGTCTGACACCCATCCAAATATCAAGCGATGAGAAAGATCAAGAGAGTCCAGGATGGGATCTCTGATACTTTCTTTCTCCTGAGTCAGCAGGTCCAGAAAGGACTAAATACTGATGGGTTGACATTCATAGGCAGACCAGAAAGCATAACTGTCTGGGCCAGTTGGGTGCGATGAGGATGACTTGTGCTTTGTCATGATAAATCTTTCACAGAACCTTAGGTAGTAGCGGGATGAGAGGTAAGTCATGACAGGAATGTCCACTGCCACAGAGTCCTGACCCTGTACTGCTCTGGAACAACATAAGTTGAACTTCTCGTTCATCTGGGAGATTAACGGGTCCCAAGATGGTGTCCCCCACTAAACGATGCCATGTTCATGATGCTCATGTTCATGAACTGAATTCATGATGTTCATCACTGAATTGCGTAACTCTCACTCGTGATCAATGACCAAATGCCTGCTGAGGCCATCCACCAGCGAGTTCTGAGTACCTGGGAAGTACATTACAGAAACTGTGATGTGGTTCCATATACACTAATTCCATAAATTGACCAACTCTACACACGGTGGGGGGGGGGAGGGAGGGAGAGAGAGATTGTCATGTTGGGTGTCAGAGGTAGGAAAGGTATGCCAATGCACACATGTTCCAGGTTCATCTACTAGGTCAGTGATACTCTGACATTGACAGGGATTGTCACTATGGTGTTCATGCTATGTCTGTCTGGCATATTACTAACCAGAGCCAGAGAAGCAGCCTAGCAAACAATGTTATATAAGTACAGAAGGCCATGTGGCCTAGCAAAGAAAGACAGACCTGGACTGTTGTTCAGGGTTTGAGAGTCACTTAGTTTATCAGACTGCTCATGGCATGGAGTCTGTTCACAGAGCATCCTGCTGTTAAGTCTAGGGTCATTCCTATAAAGTCTATCAGCTGCATGGAGGTCAGATTAGACATCTTCACGTTCACACAGACTCCCAAGAATACCAGGAGGCAGAGCAAGGACAAGGTTGCCAACTGTACTTCCAGACAGTATTTACCTGTTAGAAGCCAGTCGTCCAAGTACGGGAAGACATTGTAGCCATTTTGTCTTATCTATGGTGCCACCATTGAGAAGTCCTTTATGAAGACCATAGGTGCTGTGGCCAGGCCAAACTGGAATTCACTGAACTTGTAGTGTTACCTGTCCTACCAGAAACCTGAGGAACCTTCGCTGGAATGGGTGAATGTCCACATGAAAGTAAAAAGCAACAGAGGGTCCTGTGGCACATGAAAGTAAGCATCTTTCGTATTGAGAGCTGCAAACCATGTGTCTTTTCCAAGGAGGGAATTATTGATGCCAACATAACCATGCAGAATTTTAAATTGCAAATAAAAATATTTAGCTGAGTAGGTTGAGAATGGACCTTCATCCTCCCTTTTTCTTTGGATCTATGAAATATTTGGAGTAGAACCTTCTACTTGATGGTAAAATGGCACTTGTTCTATTGCTTCTCATTTGAGGAAAGAGTCCACCTCCTCTTGGAGGATCTCCTCATGAGTGGTCCCTCAACAGGGACTGGGAAGGAGTTATTGGAGAAGTTGGACAAAGAAACTCAATGGTGTAGCCAAAGTGGATGATATCTAGTACTCACTTGCCCATTGTTATAGCCCTCCAATTGTATGAAAATAGGCTAGAGCTCAGCAAAGTTGACGTCAGAAACACGCAGGGATGGCATCACTGTTAGGTTGCAACTCAAGCGTCCCATCAAAAGTAACCTTTAGTCAGTGGATGAGGTTGGATGGCTGCCATAGAGGTGGATGGGGCTGAATACCTTGGCCTCTGCACTCCTTGATGATTATATGGCAGTTTGTATAATCGTTGCTGGTAGAAAGGCTGTGGAAGAGGCCTTGGCTTATACCTGTTTATGATGTTTTCTCTTCATAGCTAGGGTATAAATTCCCAGGGAGCGGAGGGTTGTTGTGGTGTCTTAAGTATAAAGACTCATTTGTTTTATTGTTAAAGAGGCTGGTTTAATTGAAGGGAAAGTCCTTGATGGTATTCTGAACCTCCCTGGAGAACGCCAAAGAATGAAGCCATGACACTCGCTGCATTACTTTTGTGGTCAATGTAGATCTTGATATGGTATCCACCAGGTCCACTGTATCTTGCAGTGAGGTTTTAGCCACAAGTCTACCTTCCTCAACAAGGGCTTGGAATTGGCCCTGTCCACCTGGAAAAGTATCATCTGTGAACTCCAGGAACTTAGAGCAATTCATAAACATCACAGTTCGCTAACAGGGCCTGTTAGTCAGAGATTCTGAACTGGAGGCTGGTGGATGTAAATACCTTCCTTCCCTGAAGGTCCAGTGTTCAGCTCCCTTGCCTGCAGGGGTGATCTTATGGTGCTGCTGCCCTGATCTTTCCATGGCTGCTTGTACTACTAGGGAATAGGGGGCAAGGTGGGTAAACAAGAATTCTGCTTTCACAGGCAAAAAGTAATGTTTCTCAGGCCTTTTAGAAGTAGAGGTATATGTTGCTGGTGTACACCTTACCACTCCAGCTGGTTCCTTAATGGCCTCATTCACCAGAAAAGCTACCCTATTGGATCTGGTGGGCTGCAGGATCTTCGAGACATGTGCTGTGTATCTTGTACTACTTCTAATGGAATATGAAGTTCTGCAATAGTTCTTGACATTGCCTATGCTCATCTGGTGGGGATGGTGAAGATGGGGCAATTGCATCATCGGGTGAGGAACACAATATACAGGTTGGTACTGCTGGTACCAGCAAATGTGGCTTGTTGACTTCCTCCTCCAGGTACTCCTGTGGACTCCTGTGCTGCTGTCTAGAAAGAAGAGGGGGATGATATGACACTAGTAGAGTGCACTGATCTGGTGTGTCATGCATAAGAATCCCATGGACCCAACAGAACCGGTATGAAGGATGAAAAACTAGTTGGGTGGGGGCCGCAAGGCATTGAGTACCAGTGATTTCTGGGAGGGTAACCACGCTTGAGTGGAGATTGAGCCCTAGAAACTCTGAAACCTGACTGGTCTAACCTCCCTGGGCTGTGGAGGCGATGGTCCACCCTGGATATTGGATTCAGCCAACAAGAAAGCTGGATCCAGCTCCATCGGGGATACTGTTGTTGTCAGTGGGAGGAAGCTCCAGCCTAGGGACTGTCTAGGGGAGTAAATCCTTATTGGGGTGGTATCCTTTTCTGGGGTCAAAGTGACCCTCAGAAGGACTGTGACTAAAAGAGGAGGGCAAAGATAACTTCCAGATTAGTTTATGTCTCTACTGATCCCAGAATACAAGGGGTCCCAGTTGACGGTTCTGCTGTGCCAGACTTAGTGGTTGGCGGGTCCTTATGGGGCCAAGTCGGTACTATTGCAAAGAGTGAGAGTCTTGTCTAGAGCTCTTGGTAGGTCCTGGCAGATATCGGTCCTTCGGCTTGCTAGAGGTCATCGTCTGCACTGGAGCTGCTACCACTGGAGCTTTGCTTCTGTGCACTCTCTCTTCACATTTGAGAGGCTTAGGCAGACCTAAATCTTTGGGACCTGCATGCAAAGACTCACCTGACCTGGAAGGAGTCAGAGAAGCATCCCTTTTCCTGGAAGCAGGTTTAGAGGGGGACCTGTTTTTATATCTGTGAAAGTGCCTCTTATTCTCATGAGAAGCCCGAGATGGTGGGTCTTCAGGATTTATCTGATCCAGCTTCTGCTACAGAAAGCACAAAGCTTGAAGACTGCTTCTGATGTACAGGGTGGTCTCCCTGATATGGATCTGACTGGAGTCATGTGGCTTTCTCCATGAGGGGCTTCCTCACTTGGAGCTCTCATCTCTCTTGGGTCCAGGGTGGGAAGGAACAACAGATATTACACTGGCAGAGACATGCCTCCTCTAAGGCAGTACAGGCAGCCCCGGTGGTCGTTGCTGACAGAGAAGCTGTGAGGACAAGAGAGAGTTTTAAGTCCCAAAATTTTGGGCACAGTCCTACTCCCGGGAAGAGAGAGACAGACAGGGTCCCTAAGGTGGGGAAAAAACTAAGCTTCTCTATGTAAAATTTAAAAAAATACACTAAACTACTTTAAAACAAACAAACAAAACAAAACACACAACAAAAACACTAACAAACTATGTACAATTACATTTGCAAAGGTAAAAGTAAGGTGAGAATAACTGTGGGCACAGAGGACTCCGATTCAGGCCATGCGGAGGTAAGAAGGAAATGGAGAGGCGGTCAGTCTGTACTTTGCTTTATACTCTTCGTGCTAAGCACGGGGAGATCCAGGGTGCAGGACCAATGGATACTACCGGAAAGATTTTTCTGGTCTCAGGTGTACGAGATGCATGCATACCGACATGTAGAATATATAGAGGGACCAGCACTCAAAGAACTGAGAGATTACAGGTGCTGGTGCTATTACCTTCCCATAACTGCTAACCTCACAGTAAAGTAGTTTAGTGTATTTTTTTTCCCACACAACATAAGCCATCAGCTAGAATCGTTAAATATATTTTAAATATTCATTTTTAGAAAAGGATTCTTATTGGTTTCAGAAAAGGAAGCATCTTTTGATTAAAAAAAAAGTGTTCATCACAATGTTTCTGGGCTCATGTACATAAATTATTAAAAATAGCACTAATAAGATGGCCTATATCTAACTAAATCTAAAGAAACAATTTCAATCAGTTATAGACAGATATGTCCCACTAAGCCATAGACAGAACATCTAATGTTTATACAGTATTATTCCTTTGACATATGTGAAGCTGACTCATCTAGTCCATTCATCTTCAGGGGACAATGAATGCAACAACTCCACCACCAAGAAGGCGCAAAAGGGACACTCTTGATCACAACAAAGATGTAAATTTAATTTCCATACTGGATCGCCAATCTTGAAGCAAAATGTGGTGAGTTATATAGGCAGAGTCTGAGGTTACCTGGAATGGGTCCATAGTTGTTACAGCAGTCATGAGAGCCCAAGTCAACTACAAGGATATGTAATCCAAGAAATGTAAGGTGCAGTAGGACAACCTATGCATCATTGCTATTCTTAATGTAACCATATTCCACGACTCAAACACAAGGTTAATATTCTCAAATGAAACTATTATTGCATAAGAAAAGCACCTATACCTGAAGTCATAGACAAATAGCTAGAATACCCCAAGGAACACTCTTAATTCAAACTGAACTAGGTCACTGCCTACAGAGAGTTGAATTAACTAAGGCCTTGATGTATCATCCACTCGTGTATTTATACTGCACCCATCAGATATCTGTTCTAAAAGAAAGTCAGACGCCTCTCTCATGATAGATGGTGATCAATTTACTAGTGAACAACTCTGCACTGAACAGCATGGACTGAGTAGTGTCGCAATCAGCCAGTGCCCTAGGTTTCTGATGGGAGACCTGTGGAATTGCTGACAAAGAATCACACACCTGGTCTGCACCTGAAAAGAGAATCCTTCTTGCTTGTTTTCCCACCAGCAGCTCTACAACAGGGGTCATAGCATCAAAGTTCTCAGAAGCTTTGACACTATTTTACTTCATAGGAAAAAAGATTTGTCTCTCACAAGAGGACTGGGAGAACTGGCTCCAATATTAGAGATATATAATAATTATGGATGCAATTTTTACTGAAAGTTACGGGCTTCTTACGGAGGTTTGACGTGATCGGGGTGAGGCACAGGACTACTAAAGAAGCAAAAGCAATGCTTAGACTTATGGATGCTGGAAAAAGAGCACATTAGAACAATTATGCATTACATTTCCTGAAATATATGGTGTTTAGGAGCATCAGAACACACAGCCACCACTTCTGGCTCTTTCCTACTGTTGGCAAAAGCAATCTTGGAGCACTATATCATGTATTTTATTTTCACATACAAGTAATCTGGAAACTCCAATATCCTATCAGTATTTGAATTTTTGCCTTTTGGAGAGAGAGGAAGAGGTAAGGGAGTAGAAGGATTGAGAGGCAGGAAGGACTGTGGTGCAGTGCTCCCCCCAATTACATAGCTAGAACACAGACATCAAGCAAACATGGAAGTTATAATTTTACTCCACGTTTCCCCACCAACCTAGGGTCCAGCCCTCCTGGTGGTGGATGCCAGATTAGGGTGAGGAAAAAACTGATTCACTGTGGGATATCTTCACTGCAAAGACGGTCATAGCTATGGTGAAACGAGTGGATAGCTCCCTCAAAGCCTCCAACCTTTCCTCTTTACTCGCCCCTAATAGATCCAGTTGCAGAAATAGCTTTCAGATATCGGGCTATAGGCTCAAGCAGCAATCTACCCAGCCAAGCATATTTTCCCTGTCCTCACAAACACTTAGTCCAGCTGTAAGCACATGTCATGGTCTCAAGGAACATGTCCTCTGATCCACCTGTCCATGAAAAGGAAGAAAAACAGGAGCATGCTAAAAAGAAAAACTAAAGAAAGATGAAAATACACAAAAAAGCCAAAGGGGAAAAGAGAACAAACAAAAATATAGGGGAGGGGAAAGAGAGAGAGAATGGACAGTGCGGGGGGGGGGTGGGGTGGAATTGGTAGCAACTAAATCAGGGCCCTCCACAAAGGGACAAGTGGTGTCATCCCCATCTGCCAATACATTGAAAGAAGTGGAGTGGGAATTAATAAAAAAAAAGTTTGTTTTAAAGAGAAGTAATAGAATCCACGACTTCCATAACAAAAATCTCTGCCTGAGAATGCTACAAGTTCCTTACCATCAGACTCATTCACCTTTTCTTCAAAGGGAAAAGATGTCCCCAGAACTACATTTCCCAAATTGGGGGAGGCTACAAAACTGCATCAAAAAGGAGGCTTTGATTGCTACTCAGCAAATTCTAATTATACTCAAGTTCCTTGCAGATCAGTATAGTTTTGTTTAGGTTAATCATTTAGCAGTCTAAGGCCATTACTAAGAGATATGAGTTGTCTTCTCTAGGGAGGCATATTTAGCAAACAACCTAACCTTATAAAACGAAGAGAATTGTCTAAATAGGCCCTACATAGCTTTCAAGTTAAAAATTCGAGTTGAAACAACATACTTCAAATAGCAACTAATAAATTACCGCACGAATTATGTTCTCTCAGCAAGTGGAAGAATTCATCATGTTAAATAAAAGCTTTTTTCCCCCTATACCAAATATGCTAATTTCTGTATCAGAGCAAGTTATGTTTAGCAGTCAAGTTATTCCTTTCTGAAACAGGCTAAAATTGAAACACTAAGTGACCACTACACCCGCACTGTTACAATTCACTTACCTATTTTGTTTGACCACAGGAATGTCGGCACCTTTAGGAACCAGCTCTTTTACTTCTGTTGTTCCAAAATTTTCCACAGTGATCTGTTTAAAATTAAAACGCAGAGTACACTTCATTCACTGTTCCAAAAGACCATTTCCCTCAATTCAGGGCAGGTCTACACTACTGCCTAAGTCGATCTAACTTACGTTGCTCGGGGGTGCAAAAAAGCACCCTCTCCCCGAGCAACACAAGTTTTGAGCTGCTCACACTGGTGCTATGTCGGCAGGAGATGCTCTCCCACCGACGTAGCTTACGCTTCTCGATGAGGTGGAGTAATTACGCCAAAGGGAGAGCACTCTCCTGTCAGCACAGCACGTCTTCACCAGATGTCCTATAGAGGTGCAGCTACACCAATGTAGCGCTGTAGTGTAGACTTGCCCTCAGCCATGGGCAGTGTTTCACAATCAGCTTAACATTAAAATACCAACTGAATGCAAAATTCTAATAGGAGAGCAGCTAGTGTTTTTGGTAACACATATTCTGCTAGAGGTAATCATAATGGATAGTGAAAGCGACATGTAAAATACTTAAAAAAAATTCAAAAGCTTACCGTAAAGTTGAGACAAAATGTCTCCTCTATGTCATCTTCTGGATAGTCCAGTAACTGCTGCATACTTCTGCAAAACATTACATTTTGTCTTCATCTTAATGCATTGAAAAATTAACATATGTTGAGTATGTGTTCTCAGTATTTTGTCAGTTCTGTATCTTTCTACAGTTATCTTCTTTGAATTTCTCACTTAGATGACTAGCATTTAGAAGTGCAAAGTTAGGAAACCCTCCACTGATTCATGTTTCATTTAAGTTGAAATGCACCACAAAGCTTGGTGAACATTTTCTTGTTTTCCCTTCATTTCTGAGAGGCCTTAATTCCTTCCAATTGTCTACTCTAGAAGCAAGGTGAGAGGGTTCTTATTTTGGAGTTGGAAAGGAGCAAGAGGGCTCACAGAATAGGAAAAGAGGTAGGGTACTGAGAGAAGTAGAATGATAGCAGCCTGATCCTTCGTCTCAGTACCTGAAATATATGTTTCAATACTGTTTATGGAGTAAGTGAAAAGTCTATAGAAGAAGAAAATATTTAGTAATAAAAGGCAAGTTCTACAAAAAGTCTCTCATTGACTTCAATGGGAGCTCAGCATTTCAAAATCCATTCAAGCTTACTTACGAAACTAAATATAGATTTAGGAGCTTAAACTTTAGGTCCTCTTTTTAAACTTTGCAATGGGATTTATATTGTTGAATTCTGATTCCTCATTTTGATATGACCTTATATGCCATTACATTTCTTAAAATATTTTCTTTAACTCTTTTTCATTCCTAGCAATCTGGCTTTAGACCTAGGCATAACACAAAAGACGGCACATATTCCTTTGATTGATGGAAGATGGCAGAGCTGCAACTCAAAAATATATCTTAATCTCCCTTAATTGCCTTGCACATGTCGAACAGAGGTGGATGGGAACATGGGACACTACAGTTATGAGCCATTGAGGAAAATGTATAATAGCCCATCAAGGACCTTTGGATCCTCCTCAAAAGAGTATGGTTTGCCAACTGATCAAAATGTTGTGTTTTATTTTGTTTAATGAAGATGGGAACAATATACACACATTAAAAATAAATGGTTTTCTCTGAATTTTCTGGTCTCAAATACTCCAAAAATTGATATTAACTATATATCCTCAAATGAAAAAAAAGTTCAAATTCATAACATGTACTTGTTTTTGAAATATGCAAATCAATATGTCCTCATTAGAAACTGAATAAATTGCCTAAAACAGATTATGTTCAAAGTAAGATGAGTTATATTTACAACACACACATCTGAACCTAAAAATTTCAAAATTTGGGGACATTAAGTTCCAAACAGGAAAGAATTCTTAATCCCAAACCTAAGCATCTGAAACTATATAAAACAGTAGCGTAAATCCAAACTCAACTTTTAAGCCTAACTAGTATAGTTAGAGCTTTTTGTCTATTTATTGAGATATTATTTATTCAATTTCTTGTACATTACAGGAAACTACATCGTGCATTTAATAAGAAAGATGATACACTGGTTATCCTGTCATTCAATTTATATCGGCTCACCTGCCAACATCAGGCATTAACTCTTTTAAGTCATCTAGAGAAGGCTTCTTATTCAACAGCTTCTTGTACAAAGCCAAGGGGAACTGAAGGTCCACAATAGTAAAATTATATATTGCGAGCCCACAGACAACACCAATCAAATGGAACAAGTCACTGTCTTCAAAGGTCTATGAAGAACAGAAAATACAAGAGTTAAAACATTTGTCAACTGAAAAAAAAAGTTCAGATTTTTAATAGGTTTATATTCTATTTCATTTACATTTCCTATAAACAAAAATATAATCTTATTTCACAGACACTGTTAAAACAGGTACGTTTTTAACCAGTTGAGTAAGACTGGAGAAAAAACGGTTACCTAACCTTTCGTAACTGTTCTTCAAGATGTGTTGCTCAGGTCCATTCCATTCTAGGTGTGTGCACGCCCATGTGCACAGTTGTCGGGACTTTTGCCTTAGCGGTATCTGTAAGGCTGGCTGTGGCACCTCCTGGAGTGCTGCGTTCATGCATTGGTATATCAGGCGCCACAGGCTCTACGCCCTCTCAGTTCCTTCTTGTCAGCAACTCCGAGAGGGGCAAGTAATGGAATGGACATGAGCAACACTGACCTGTCTTTCCATATTCTTTATGGAAATATGCTTATGATATGAATGACATAACTGAGATATACTTCATGCAGATGGCTCATGTGAGCTATCACTAGAAAGGTTATGATTAACTGAATGCGATTATCCTATTTGTATGCATGTATCATTTCTGTATCTGAAATTAGGAATAGTGACTGTATCTGTATTTCAACTATGTTACTTTGGGTGACGGCCACTGCCAACACTTCAGATACAACAATAGAAAAGCCAGACAGGGTGGATGGCCCATCAACAGGGACAATGGACTGTAAAAGAGCTTAGTCTTCCTGTGAAGAATGGCTACAAAGGTACAGAGTCGGGTGGTCTTGTCACCTGATACTAAAACATTATCTGGGACTTCTTGTAACTTTCCACTGTAAGGGACGGGGAGTCAAACTAGAAAACGAAAGACTCCCGCCTTATGCAAATCCTATTTAAGGGTGGGGAGTGAGGTAATCCTGGTCGTCAGTTCTCCCCTGCTACCCCACCCAAGATGATTGCTGGGAACAACTAAGACCGACCGGGGGAAAGAACTTGGTCCAGGCTGGAAGGGCGTCTGGTCTGTGAAGAAGTTTATTAGAACCACATTTAGGGTGAGAACTCACATGTAACCAGTGTATTAAGCTTAGTTTGCGTGCTCTGTTTTATTTTCTTAGTAAACTGCCTTGTTCTGTCTGCTACCTCCTTAACTACTTAAAATACACCTGTTATAGTTAATACATTTATTTCTGGTTTATAATACAACCCACTGTATATGATTTCTAACTGGGGGGGCGGGAAGGGAGGGGCGAGAAATTGTGCATACCATCTTCCACATTGAGAGAAGAGGTGAATATAATAGATCTTTGGGTCAGTACTCCAGGGGAGGTGGACATCTGAGTGCTGGAGCAAGTCCCGCACGCTAAGTCTTCCCAGAGCTGGTGGGTGGGTGGGTGTGTGTGTTTTTTACAGGAGATTTTAAGAGCCTGGCTCAGCAAGACAGGTTAAAGGGGGCCCACGCTGGCAGAACACGTAAACTCTGTGGTATCTCAGCACATCAGGTGACTTCCCAAGGGGTCCAACCCATTACAGTACACGTCTCAAAGAACAGTTATGAAAAGTAGGTAGCTGTTTTTTCTTCAAGTGTTTGCTCATGTCAATTCCATTCTAGATGGCTCACAAACAGTATTCCTGGAGGTGGGCTCAGAGTTCACAGTTGAGCGGCTTGTAATACCACTCTACCAAAGCCAGCGTCATCTCGGGCTTGCTGGGTAAGCACATAGTGAGATGTGAACATATGGATGGATGACCACGTGGCAACCCTGCAGATATCAGAAATTGGCACACGGGCCAGGAAGGCCGCCACCGAGGCTTGTGCTTTAGTTGAGTGGACTGTTACGATCGCTGGTGGAGCACCTTTGCCTGATCATAGCAAAATTGGAAGCAGGTTGTGATCCAAGATAAAATTCTCTGGGTGGACACTGGATGACCTTTTATCCTATCTGCCACCGCAACGAACTACGTCGACTCGCAAAATGGCTTGGTCCTCTCAATGTAGAAGGCTAGCGCTCTCCTGACATCTACGGAGCTCAACCTACATTCCTTCTCAGACGTATGAGGCTTTAGGCAGAAAACTGGCAAGAATATGTCCTGGCTTGTGTGAAATTGGAAACCACCTTCGGCAGGAAAGCCGGATGTGGCTGCAACTGGACCTTGTCCTTGAAGAACACCGTATACAGCGTCTCCAATGTAAATGCCCTAATCTCGGAGATCCTTCGGGCAGAAGTTATCGCCACCAGGAATGACATCTTCCAGGAGAGCAGAAGAAGGGAACAGAATGCCAAGGGCTTGACGGGAGTTTTCATGTGCCACGCAAGTACCAGATTCAGGTCCCACGGGAGGACTGGGACCCAGACTTGGGGGTAGAACCATTCCAGACCTTTTAAGTACCGGACCGTCATGCAACCCTGGAGCTTGAGATGCATAAGGCAGTCCAGAATCAGCTGCAGCGAGGCCTGCTCAGGCTAACCACTTGGGCCGAGGCCCAGCACGTGAATCGTTTCCATTTGATGAGGTAGGTTGCTCTAGTGGAGGGCTTTCTATTCCTCAGTAGGACCTGTTGGACTCGGGTCGAACATTCCCACTCCTCAGTAGTTAACCATGGAGCAACCAAGCTGTGAGGTGGAGTGCTGCCAGATTTGGGTGCAGGAACTGGCCATGATTCTGTGACAGGAGATCCGGCCAGTGGGGCAGTGGCATTGGGATCATCACTGACAGGTCCATGAGCGTGCTGAGCACTTTTGCTGGCGAGGCCAAGCCAGGGCTATTAGGATAATCTTGGCCTTGTCCTGCTTGATCTTCATGAGGACTTTGTGAAGCAGTGACACCAGTGGGAAAGCTTACATCAGAGCCCCCAACCAAGGAAATAGAAAGGTGTCCAACAGGAAGCCCCTGTTGACCCCCCAAAATGAGCAGAACCGGTGGCACTTCCTGTTCTGGCGAGTCATGAACAAGTCCACCTGGGAAGATACCCACTTTCGGAAGGTCTGCTCAACCACATTGAGGTGGAGAGACCATTTGTGGCGAGACGAGAAGGTTCTGCTGAGGCGATCTGCCAACATGTTCCTGGTTCTGGGGAGGTGCGTTGCCATGATATGAATGGCATGCTGCACGCAAAAAAAAAAAAAAAAGAATGAGAAATTCTGTCTCTGAGCCCAACAGCCATTTGGGAAAAACCAAGTTAAAGCCTTAGTAATAGTAATAATAACTAACATTGCATGCATGAAAAAAATCTGAGGGTTTCCTGGCAGAGGGCAGATGGCCTGGCTCTGCCCTGGTTGTTGATATAAAACAGGGGTAGGCAACCTTTCAGAAGCGGTGTGCCGAGTCTTCATTTATTTACTTTAATTTAAGGTTTCGCGTGCCGGTAATACATTTTAACGTTTTTTAGAAGGTCTCTCTCTATAAGTCTATATATTATATAACTAAACTATTGTTGTATGTAAAGTAAACAAGGTTTTCAAAATATTAAAAAAAAAACTTCATTTAAAATTAAATTAAAAGGCTGATCTTACGCCACCAGCCTGCTCAGCTCGCTGCCAGCCTGGAATTCTGTTCACCTAGACCGGCAGCGGGCTGAGTGGGGCCTGACCTCTGAAGCCCTCCACACCCCCAGAAGGGTGGGTGTGGAGGGCTTCAGAGGTCAGGGCAGAGGACTAGGGGTGTGTGGGGGGGTGCAGGGCAGAAGGCTGGGGGTGGGGTGGGTCAGGGCAGAGGGCTGGGGTGTGTGTGGAGGGTCAGGGCAGAAGGCTGGGTGTGGGGGAGGTTCAGGGCAGAGGGCTGGGGTGCTCGGCTCGTGGGGGTGCTCCCAGCCCCCTGCCCTCTGCCCTGAGCGGCTCATGGCAGGGGGCTGGAAGGGATATATCCTGTTCCACCCCCTGCCCCAAGGCCCGTCCCTGCCTCTTCTCTGCCTCCTTTACCCATGGCCGGCCTTAGCAAGGGGCTGCCACGCGCCGGCTGGAGCTCCGGCCGGGAGAGCCGGGCCGTTGGGCTTTTGCAGAGCAGCGAGCACGGGGCAGGAAAGCAGGCTGCACCACGGCTGGGGGAATGAGGGGGGGAGCTTGGCTGCTGCAGGACAGAGCTTCTACCTCCTGCCCCAGTAGAGGAGAGCAGTGGGTGGGGGGGCTGAGTGCGGCTGGGGGTCGGAACCAAGGCAGGCAGCCGTGTACCATTCAAAATTGGCTCCTGTGCCGTGTTTGGCACGTGTGCCGTAGGTTACCAACCCCTGATATAAAACATTGTGGTGGTGTTGTCAGTCAGGACTCGAACCACTTTGCCTTTTAACTGGGACCGAAAAATCTGGCAGGCCAGGCGAACAGCTCTGAGCTCCCTGACATGTATGTGGAGGGAGCGGTCGACCGCTGACCAGCGGCCCTGTGTACTGACCTCGCCCAGGTGGGCTCCCCAGCCTAGGTCCTAGGCATCGAACACCAGAGTTAGCGACGGGAATGCACAGGGAACTCACTACAACAACGATGCGGGGTCCTGCCATCACGCCAGTGATGCCCAGATGGGGCCCGACACGTTTACTACCACGTCCAGGTCATACCTGTTTTACTGGAAACCTGGGAGGTGGGCAGGCACAAGCCCACCCACTTCTAAAGGCCTCTCCCCCAGCCTAGCAGGAGGGACCACTGGACCCAGGGACCAAATGAATGCGGGGGACAACAAATGAGAAAGCCAGAGAGTGAGGTGAAGGTCATAGGTTTAAAACGAGGGTATCAGATAGGGACACCGAGCAGAGAACCTTGTCGTGCCTGATGGGGATTTAGACCAACGCCAACCACACCTGCCGCAGCCAGAGGTGTAGCCAGGCATGACGGACCACATAAGTACAAGCAGCCATGTGGCCTAGCAGCCGCAGGCAAGTATAGGCAGTGGTAAGCGGGTGGCCCCTCACATCTGACATGACTCGGAAACGGGGCTCTGGAAAGAATGCCCTAGCCTGTGTGGAATCAAGAACCGCCATGATAAACTCTATCCATTGCACTGGTACGAGGGTCGATTTATTTTTGTTCACTAACAGGCCCAGGTCGTGGCATGTGGACTGCACCAGATTGAGGCTGCTCTGCACTTGATCCCGTGATCTGCCCTTGATGAGCCAATCGTCGAGATAAAGATAGACCTGGATCCCCTGACACCGCAGGTAAGCAGTTACTGGGACCATGCATTTTGTAAAGACCCATGGGACCAAGGAGAGGCCAAAGGGGAGCACTGTGAACTGGAAATGGTGCTGGCCCACCATAAAACGGAGGAAATGTCTGCATCCTTGGAAGGTAGAGGTATGGAAATAAACGTCTTTCAAGTCAAGAGTGGCGTACCAGTCTCCCGGATCCAGGGAAGGAATGATGGAGGCCAGGAACTCCATGCGAAACTTCAACTTCTTGAGGTACTTGTTGAGTCGTCGCAGGTCCAGAATCGGTCACAGGCTCCATTTTGCCTTCGGGATCAAGAAATAGCGGGAGGAAAAACCTTTCCCCCTCATCTCCAGAGGGACCTCTTCCATCACCCCCAGTTGTAGGAGACTGTTTACCCCCTGAACAATGAGTTGCTCGTGAGAAGGGTCCCTGAAGAGGGACAGGGAAGAAGGTGGCCGAAAACCGAGGAGTGTAGCCCAGTGACAATTTCTAGCATCCAATGGTCTGAGGTGACTCTCGACCAGGCCAAACGATAGCCATGGAGACAGTTGAAGAAAAGATGGGGAAGATCCAGGGAGGTGACTGGGGCGTCGCTCTCGAGTGTACCCTCAAAACGCCCACTTCTGGCCCCCATGGTGTTTCACTGGGCCAAGTTGTGAACAGGAGGAGGAAGGGCAACGGCGACTGAACCCAGTGTCCCTTCTCCTCGTAGATCCATGCCGAGGCTGCCGAAATGACTTCCTCACAGACTGAGTTGTATGCATCCCCTGGGGACAGAGGGTGGCCCGAGTATTCTTCAGACCTTGCAGCTTTGCATTCATCTGATCAGAAAACAGTCCAACTCCATTGAACGAAAAATCTTGTATGGAGGACTGCATCTCCTGGTACAGACCGGTAGTCGGAAGCCAGGAGCTACGCCTCATAACCACCGCTGAGGTGACCACCCTGGCCACTGAATTGGCCGCATCCCAGGCCAACTGGAGGGAGCACCGAGCTGCTATGCTAACTTCCTCCACAAGAGCCCTCAACTCTTGGGCCACTTCCTGGGGCACGGAGTCCTTAAACTTATGGAGAGAAGTCCCACAAGTTAAAATTATAATGCCCCAAAAGAGCCTGGTGGTTCACTACCCAGACCTGGAGATTGGCCTTGGAGTAAGTTTTTCTTCCAAAAAGGTCCAGTCTCTTGGCCTCCTTATTTTTGGGGGTGGAACTAGCAGGCCCGTTGGTCCTTTTTGTTGGCCGCCGACATGACCAATGACCCCAGGGGCGGGTGGGTATATAAGTTTTCGAACCTTGGCAGGGACAAAATACTTTTTCTTGGCCCTCTTGGAAGTGGGCGGGATGGAGGATGGGGTTTGCCAGAGGGCTTTGGCAATGTTCAGAACCCCTTCATGCACCAGGATTGCCACACATGTGGGGGTGGACATGGAGAGCACACTGAACAACTTATCCAATTGCTCCGCTATCTCTTCCACCTCAAGGCCTAAGTTAGTGGCCACCTGTCGGAGCAGGACTTGGTGCTCCTTAAAGTCATCCGGTGGGCTAGCACAGGAGGGCCCCGCCACCCCCTTGTCGGGAGAGGACGAAGACGACTGAACCACTGGGGGAGGGCCCGGGGCATCATTCTCCACAGGGGAAGGGGGTATCAAGGTGGGCATCTGTACCTCCACCACAGCGCCCACCGGCGCTTCCTGAACCAAACCCGGTGCCAATTGGGGTTTGTCCAATACAGTGACCAAGGACTGGTGAGATGGGGGCATCAGCATAACCGGCATACCCAAAGTGTTCCAGTAAGGCCACTGCACTGGCAGGTCAGCATCGCTGTGGTGTATGCAACTTCCGGAGCCCAGTCATGATGGTGCAGTCTCAGTGAGGGGCTAAACTCCCTCTCCATGCCAGAGAAATCCTCCTCCGGTGAGCAGGGCACGACCATCGATGCCTGAATATGGCGGCTCACCATCTCTGGGGGTGACTGGTGTCTCGAATGGTCAGACCAATGCCGGGAGTAGGGGGAGTGGCACTGTGTTGGGGAGCGTCCTCTAGGTCTTGGTGACGGTAACCGTTGGCGCGAAGATGACCCATGCCAACTGTAAGGCAACCAGTGCCTCCCTCTGGGTGAGGCCCGGCGCGAGGGTGGAGCCCATGAGCACGGTGCCGGTGACCTGCAACGGCGAACCAGTGACATGGGCTGACACGGAGACCAAGGATGCAGCGACAAAGGGCTCTGCCTTGGCTCTGGAGACCGGTGGCACTCATTCACCTTTTGGGAGGCCTTCACAGCTGGTTTGCCTTCGTAGGGAGCCTTCACCAGATGCATCGCTGCACGCAGTGCCAGCTGTGGTGGGAGAGTCTGTTGCTCTTTGGGCACCGGGAGCTGAGAGTGCGTTGACTGCACCAATCAGCCTGGGTCTTCTATCGCTCCCTGGAGTTGGTGGCGGATCCCTTAGGGGGGTAGTAGGTCCACTTGAGGGTGTGCCCCCTTGCGGCTTCGGCATAGGTGGGCAACCCAAGTAGGGTCCTTTGTGCAATGCCCCTCGATCCGACTTGCTCAGTGTCAGGTCCCTCTTCTTCGTTTTCTTCTTGGGCACCGGCAAAGGGGATCAATGCCAGGAAGAGTCCGATGCCAGCAGTGCGCTATGCACCAAGGCCGAAGTGCTGGGCATGGTGTCCAGCCAGGCCGACTCAGAGGCTGGGCAAAGAGCAGCTTCCATGAGGAGGGCCCTCAAGTGAATGTCGCATTTTTTCTGTGTCCTGGGACGACACTTCTTTAACGTGGGATTTCCCCAGTCACTTCAAACAGCTACCAAGTGAGTCACTAACAGGCATAGGCCTGTTGCAGTCAGAGCAGGGCTTAAAACCCAGAGACTGGGGCATGCCCTGCCTGGGTCAAAGTCCACACTGGGATCCTAACTGACTAATGACAGTACTTAACAGCTACTTGCTAAACTAATCTACTATAAACAAATTATTTACAGTTGGAACACAAGGTTCAAGGAGTAGGAAAAAAACACTGGCCACTTGCGAAGCAAGAGAAAGGCGCTCTGACTAACCACCATGGACGGTAAGAAGAAACTGAGAGCGCATAGGGCCAGCAGTGCCTAATATACCAATGCATGAGGACGGCACTCAAGGGGGCGCCACAGCCAGCCCTACGGATACTGCTAAGGCAAAAGTCTTCAACAACTGTGCGCGTGGGCGCACACACACCTAGAATGGAATCAACATGAGCAAGCACTCAAAGAATGTGTTTGTTTCACTCAGCACTTTTTGAGCTTCTGGGGAGTTCTTGCAGTGTCAAATGTGTTTAAGTATTGCAATATAACAGTGCTTTTAATGGACTAAAATTTGATTACTCAATCCTTTGAAAATTAGGGTCACAGATTATATTTTTAAGTGGAAAATTTATATCATGTCCATTATTGACCTCTCTAGACCCACTATCAAAAGACAAGGTACGCTAATATTTTATTGTGGTGTGACTGGATATCAACTTGTATATCCAAAAACGGAGGCAACAAACTGGTGAACACTTGAAAATTTGGGCTTTCGTGACTTGCTCACACACTTAGTTAATAACAGAGCAGGAACAGAAGCCAGGTCTCTCGACTTCACTGTCTACATAAGCTCCGTAGACATGGCTACATAAGGGAAAGGAAGCGGTCAGACATGATGTTGCCTACTTCTCTTCTATCCTGCTTTATGGAGTTTCAGCTATTTGTACCACCATACATTTCCTGGCATTTTTGGTTGCTATACTTGTCAGGATTGTGGGAGAATTAGTGGGGAATGGCAGAATCTTAGCAGAATATGTGATGAAGGGGGGAATTTTAATCCAATGGTGAAAGGAGTGAATCTCCTCTGTGGCCATTTTATTTAGCTTCTCTAGAAATATTTCCTTAGAAACCTAGTGCAGTCCACGATGAGTCAAAAGAGGATTCATTCACTGGAGAGTAAAGCATACCTTGTCAGAGAACCAGATGAGCCTGGACTCTTCATAGTACCTAAACATTCCATATTTGGGATCAAGTAACTCTCTCATGATGAGCAAGAAAAATTCTTTGCGAACACCTCCTGCATCAACAGCTTCTTCCCCTACAAAAATAACCTGAAATGGGCACTTCAGTTAGCACAGAATATAAAAAAGAAATACAAAACAAATTACATTTAATCTAAAAATATACTGAATTTGTTAAGGTATAACAGATACTAAAATAAAAATTATGATCTGATTTAATGTTAGATTTAAGGGAATTTAAGCAGTATAAACTGGCTATACCTTGAGTGGTTTCTTGTAATCTACATTCTTCGTTTTCCTTAGGACTTCCATAGCATCTCCTACAATATTGTCTCTGCGCACCACTAATATTAGACAAGGATTGACAGATTCAAATACAGGGAGAAAAATAGATGAGAAATTCTGTCTGTGAGCCTGGTCAACAGCCATCTGGGGAAAACCAAGTAAAAGCCTTAGTTATAGTAATAACTAATATTGCGTGCATGAAAAAGCCAACATTTAAGAGCTTCTATCAATGTATTTATTTAGCAAACATACCTGGGAGCTACAATTTTAGATTTAACATACTTTACATCCCTCTAACCTCAGCAAATATGCTTTCTACTAGCACCAACAAATTTAACAGTGCTGTTCAACAGTTCCATAAGTCTTAAATTACTGTTTTTAACAATTAAAAACTTTTGTATAACAGAAACAAAGCTAAACACACACTACAACCCATCGAAGGTCTATTGAAAACAACTGGCAAATAGAGGTTGAGGAGGTAAATATTAATCTGGCATAAATGAGCATTAAGAAGTGGTTTCACAGAGTAAGATTTGTTCATATTTTTCTTATAGCTGTTTTGTATCATTTGAGTTGTATTTTCTTCCACGGTCTAACAATCTTTTCACTTGCTTTCCTTCTCCTCCTTAACATGAAAGATCATATTAAACAAAATACTGTCATGAGTAGTCTAATTATGGCACAGAGTTCTTTAGAGCTTGCCAAATATCTACTAAAAGAGATCATTAACAATCTACTCTGTAAATGGGCACAGGCATAGAATGAACATTTTCATTGAATTTTCATTTATTTTTCTGTTCACGTAACAATTGCTGATTTTTGAGCATCAGTGGTGAATACAAACTTTGAAAACAGATTTAAAATTGTATTTAACAACTTATTGTGATTACAGGAATTAGTATTTTTCAGCAGGAGTGCATATCATACAAGCACAGTGCCTCTTTCCCGTCTATCTTCAGCTTCAAAACACAGGCTCTTATCACTGTAAACAGGCAATATGAAAATGGGCATGTGGAGGACGGGGAGCAGTTCAAGTAGTCAGAGTGTTTGGAACTATTATTTCAGTCACTTGCTTTTATTTTTCCTTCACTCACTCTTTCCCCTTTATACATGTGATTTTCATAATTCATGACTCCTTTACAACAGCTCTGCAGGTATGTATTATACAGAATACCAATTGCTGAACAATTGTTCATCACATCACACATGTTTCAGTGTTGCTCAGATAGAAACAAAGACAACAAATAAGAAACGTGGACTTCCAATGCATAAATGACATGGTTAGGTGAACATAACTCATGCTTAGAAATAAAAGGACACAATATAGGGTACGTTTTACAAACCATTATATTTATGAATTAGCTTTACCCAGATTAATGCAAAACTGAAATAACTAAAAATAGCAAATATGTAATTTGATGGTAGCAAATAGGGAAAGAACCAATGATGCTCAAATGAAATCTCCATATTGCAACAATTTTTCCAGATTAAGAAATTCAGTCCCACCTTTCCACAAAAAATACATTTAAAACAATTTCCAAGCCTTGACTCTCTCCCATTGCATTGCAGATGTAGGTAAGACCATACCTATTACAGTTTGAGATAAGCAATCAGTTGGCTGGTAAAGTGCCACCTAGCTACTGAAAGGAGAGAAATTGCTACCAAAAAAAAAAAAATATATATATATATATATATATATATATATAACAACAATTTACACAGATTACCAAACAATACAATTTCAACCAGGTTCAAAACATTAAAAAGGGGGAGAAAAGTAAACTACCCCAAATGTATATCATGCAAATTACTTGTAGAAAAGTAGGAAGAAAAAAAAAATTGATCTCAAAATACTTAATAGATTTTAGTCCTTTTTGGATATTTTAAAAAACTGATGTTTAAAAAGAGTGAAATACCATTTTACCTGCATTTGTAAGACAGCATCTGTTTGCAAGAGCGTAGTTTTTGCCTGTGCATCGAACACGAAAGGGTATGTGCAAATTGTAACTGGATTTTCTGTTAGCTAGAAAAAAAAGAGTAAAATATTAGTGCACAGTTATCATATGGTACTTAAAAAGCGTGGTTATAGTCAGAAAAAAATGGGATTGTAAAAATGGTTCTCTCTCATTCAATATATCTGCTTTATTGACAAAAGATTTTACTTGTCAGTGCAGGGCCAATATTGTTGTGGGAAAGAGTGGATTTTTGAATTCTCTTATGTTTCATCAACAAAACAGTTAGATCATTTCTAAATCTTTATTATTGATATAGGTATGAGGTTAGAAAGCGTTTTGGTTACAGATCCTAGTTTGAGCTTGCATTGCTTACAGTTTTAAAAGTTTTTTAGGCCTTGTCTACACTACAGAGTTTTGTCAATGCAAGTTATGCCGACATACCGTTTCAATTAAACCGCTGTTGCACGTCCACACTATGCTCCTTCTGTCGGCAGAGTGCATCCACAATAGCAGCTCTTGCATCGACAGAGAGCAGTGCACAGTGGGTAGCTTTGGGAAGGGTTTGCAATGCTTCATGGGGCAGGTACAGCATCAAATTATGCAGGTTTCTCAATCTCATCGTTCCAGAAGCATTCTACTAGATTGCCAGCTGCTCTTCAACTGAAATGTGTGTGGGGGGTGGTGGAGGGTGACGGGGGAGGGGGGGGGGTGAGAGAGACAGGGTGTGTGTTGGGAGAGTGTGTGAGAGGACGAGTGTGTATATGAGAGGGAGAGTGTGTGTGTGTGGGTGGGGGGAGGGGGAGAGTGAATGTGTCAGCATGCTGTCTCTAAGTTCAGACAGCAGCTAGAAGCAATGAATCCTGAGGCAGGGGGAGGGGGGACACCCTCGATATCAGACCGTGCCTCCCTAAGTCTCTTCCCCCTTCCCTCTGCCCCCCGCCGCCATAAGCAGCAGCCTGCCCTGCCTGCTGCGTTCCTAGTGCCCAGAAGAGCAGGATTCAGAGTTAACGTTTTGATTCTATGATTCCCTCAGAGTACTCCCCCAGCCTCCTCTCCCAACAGATGAAGATGATCCCCCCCACCTCCACTGTCGTCCAGACAGGAGTGAGTTTGCTGCTGAAGCTGCCATGCTCAGCTGGGCTGTAGCTATGTGAGCTCTCCACGCTGAAGAATTTCAATACTTCCTAGGGCTTTGAAAGGGGACGGGTGCATGCCTGTGTAGCTGGAGAGAGGCAGTGGAATTCAAAACAGTGAGCAGAGCGGTCACGGTGCGCATTGTGGGATACCTCCTGGAGGCCAGTTACAGCGATGTAAGGAACACAGTGACTACACTGATGTTTTGTCGCTCTAACTTTGTTGCAAAAAGCTTTATGCTTCTCGTCAAGGTGATTTTATTTTGTTGGCAAAACAGGGGAGAGTTTTGTTGCGAAAAGTAGCATTGTAGTATGTGCACCTCTACTGTTTTGTTGGCAAAAGGCAGATTTTGCCAACAAAACTGTGAAGTGTACACAAGGTCTTATAGTTGTACTCCATCAATGACTTCTATATCTAACCCCATTACTTATCATGTCTTCAGAAAATTGTGCAGCTATTTTTCTGACTATACTCACACGAATTTTAAAGTCTTACTTACATCTAATACTCTGAAATTAATCCTTGACAGAACTAGAGCTTAATCAAAATTTCTGATTTCCTTACACTCTGAAAAGGAAGCCAGATTACAACCAATCTTACCTCAGTTAATCCATGGTTGATGTCCTATGACAGCAATGCACAAAGGTAGCAATAATTAAGAGTAAAAAGCAGCATTAGTGTCCGCATTAATTATTCTTCTCTGAACCAGCAAAAATATTTAACTACAGTATTTTTAAAAACTGAATTATTAGAGAAGCAAATAAAAACATAAAATTTTTGCATTTAGAATTAATCTACAGACTATAACCAGATACTTTTAATTACTATATCTAGGGTCTTTAAAATGCAGTGCTCCAGTAAAGTTTTCTTGGATGGACGGCACTAAAATAATAAATGTTAAGTTATGGGAAATGTATTATAAATGTTATATTAACAGTAATATTATCAATTTTTAAAATCCTGGCATTCTACATATAATGCTTACTTACTCACTAAGAGTCTTTATGTAAAAAGCAAGCTTTTTGCTTCTTCCCTTTTCTCAAGTTGTTATACCATATTATATGTTAAATGTAACAAAGCATTAGTACATATTTTGATTTTCAAGGTGCAAAAGCCACTTAGAGCATGAGTTTAGATAAATGCTCATTTGTTTCCATAATCTGTAACTACTTTATTGTACACAAAGATTAAGAGAGAATGTGCAACTTTTTGGATGGTCTTGGAGGGGAATTTAGTGATAGAGGCATATGTTGCTGGAACACTTAAATTCGCTCTTTCCTGCATGTTTCCCTGTCATCCTCTGTTGAACGCTAAGACAGATTTCCCAAGGGTAGAAAATAGAAAATAAATTTAAATAGCACCAAGAAGTTTAAAAAAAATCAGTACTATAAAGAAAAATCTCAAGGAACAAGGATATCTGAATCCCTCATTTATAAAAGTTAATGGCCAAAATGATAACTACAAAGGTGTTTATTTAACACACACACACACACACACACACACCCCTTACCGTCTCTGAAACACTAGCTTACCTAGAAGTTCTCCAAATAGAATGCATGTGAAAGTGCACATTTGTGGAGCTGTGTTGTTTTTTTCCCTAATCACTCAGACTACAGTAATGTCCTTCAAACAAAATCTTAACTGCTTTTAAAACAACTTGTTATATTAGTATTTTATTATTAGACTGTAATGGTCTTTTTCCAACTCATGTCTATCTCATGGTTGAAGGCTGGCATTGGCAAAGTTCTTCCAGTGACTTGGAACAGAACCCAAGGAGTTGACAAATGGCGTTTCCCAAATAGAAGCTATGA